GCGACTAAAGTTAAAAATATATATTATACAATGTATATAATAAATTATATATTTTAATACATAATATAATACAATATATTTTATACATATTATATATGTATTATATGTTAATATATATTATAGATAATAAAGTTCGGTTAATTCGGTTTTTTTTTGTTAACCGAATTTCTAAACCTGAAAACCAAAATCGAAACCGAAATTTCACAAAACCAAAATAACCAAAAAACCGAAACCGAAATTTTCGGTTCGGTTTTTCGTTTTAACCAAATAATGCTCACCCCTACTCGAAGGACGCATAACCCAAACAATTATGCCATAAAACACCTAATTCCTATTTTAATGACTCGACTGACCACTTGACTCTGATGTTGATGCCAAGAAACCAACCTTATTCTCGAGAATATAAAGGCCTTTTACCATGCTTCCTTTACCAATCGTTCTCTCTAAGGTTAAGTCTTGAAAAAACACAAGAACCAAGAAAGAAGGTTACACTACAATTCTGGGAGTTCGTAGTACTACTAATGCATAGTAAATTGAGAGGAAGATTTGGGACATGCAACACATTATTAGGGGTAAGGCCAGGAGGAAGGGATATTGATCCCCAACCTGCTATGGAAGAGAATAATCCATCTGCAAGCCTCACTTTATCCCTTCCAAACAAAGGACTATAGAACTGAAAAAGGTTGGACTTGCCAATCATGTGATTGGAGGCCCCTGAATCAATAATCCAAAGGGAATCAATGGTTACATGAAAAGCAAGGGTAACGTTATCTAATGTAGACACAAATGAAGTAGAGGGGTACTACTAGTTGCATTGTCCATCTGGTGTAAAGCCCCACCATAAGACTCCAGATGATCAGGAGAGGAGTTAATGATATCCTCCTTGGGGTCAGACCTAGTATGATGCTCTTGAGTAGTACCAATAGGCACACTACTACCCTAAGAATCCCGGGTTGCTATGTTAGTTGCACTATACTTCTTTTGTCCCTGCATGATGTTTTGGTCCTGGTTTTTTTGTGCCCACTGCGGCTTTCCAATGAGGTCCCAACAAAGTATCATGAGTGTGTATAGGGCATTGGCAATGTGTACACCACAACTTGTCCTTATCATCATACTTCTTGTTATCCCCTTTCTTCATCACATTGTTACCACCTTTTGCATCTAATGCAATATGTTGCTCCCCCTTAGTCGTAACCATCACATTGTGCCTACTCTCCTCAGACTAAACCAAGGCATACACCTCTTGGACTGAAGGTAGCTCACTACTCCCCAAAATCCAAACTTTACGGGGTTCATACACAAGATTTAGTCCCAATAAGGCAAAAGCTCACTACTGAGAAACCATGGTTTCAAATGTCGCCAAATGTCGCTAATGTCGCCCGACATATGTCGATGTCGAGGCTCACCGACATGAAAATGGATGGTAATATAAAAATTACATTATGTCGGTCGACATTTCCTATATTTCGGGTATGTCGACCAAATCGGTCCAAATAACTAAAAAAAATACAGTTTTTCCTATTATGTCGACAAGATATCGACTAATGTACATTAAAAATATAATATATTAGTATATTATATTAATATAATACAGTATATTAATAAAGATTATTCCATTAATAATTTATATTTAATATTTCAAATAGAATATTTATAAAAAATAATTAAGAAAATATAAAAACAAAAGAATAAA